GCAGAGTCGACCTACGATGTTTGAAAAAAAATCACTTGATGGCAATGAATAGAACAGATCAGAGTGAGAGAGCAGTTAAGGGGGACAAGATAGGAGGATTTTGTGGTCCTCTAGGGAGGACTGAAGGTAAGGAAGGGGGTGAGAATAAAGAGGAATAGCTAGATTCAAAAAATATTCAAGAAGTAAAAACTGACAGGATTTGGAATGGACCAATATGGAAGGTGAGGAAGAAGGAGTCTAGGATTACCTTGACATTCTGGCCTGGGCAGTTAGGTGCACAGTAGTGCCAGCCACTAGATCAGTGGTTCTCAACCTTCTGGCCCTTTAAATACAGTTCCTCATGTTGTGACCCAACCATAAAATTATTTTCGTTGCTACTTCATAGCTCTAATGTTGCTACTGTTATGAATTGTAATGTAAATATCTGATATGCAGGATGGTCTTGGGCAATCCCTGTGAAAAGGTCGTTCGACCCCCAAAGGGGTCGTGACCCACAGGTTGAGAACCACTGCACTAGATGGCGGATACTACAGAAGAGCAAGGATATTAGGGGATGAAGAGTAGGAACCTGTGAATTTAACTCCAGACCTGCCAAGTGTGGAGCTCCAGTCTCAATCAAAAAGTTGCATGTATGTGTCTGGGGTCCAGAGGCCAGGTCTGGGTGCAAGATACAGGGTTCAAGCCCTGCGCTTCCACTGGTTATGAGTCCTGTGAACGTAGTAGGGACAACAGATTTTAATGTCAACGTCATCACTTGGAAAGAACAAGCAGTTTCCAGAGAAATGTACTTTTGATAAGTTTGGTTTCAGAGAATTAAACCAATTACACTTCCCAAAGACATTGGATGAAACAAGAAAAATGGATTCCATGTCATAAATCTCAAAACCATACAAGCATCATGTAATCGTGCACAGTGGCTTTAATTTAATATAGGAATACATCAACATCATAGAACATACAGATGTCTTCACAGGGCAAAGTTCACAATCACATTCTAGGGAAGACATTGAGGACAAATGGAATTCCGAACAGCATTTTGCAGTATGCGAAAGAGTTTTAAAGTCGTGGTGGCACAGGCATGGGCGTGAACTAAGAACTGTGGTGCTAACGACACACAGGACTGAAGGAAAGGAGTATGAAGAAGGTAGAGCAGAGGAATTCAAAGCAAAAGTTTTCATAAGGCAGATGGGTTTGGACAGTGGCTCTGCCACTTACTAACTAGGTGACCTCGGACAAGAATCTCACCTTTCTAAGCTCAGTGGCCTCTTCAGTAAAAGGGACTACTAGGAAGAATAAATGAGACACTGCATGCAACGTTCTGAGAACACACAGAGTAAGTACTTAGTAAGCATTCACTGTTTGATAATGATGACAATGATATGGGACTGTTTTATAAAAGTGGCATAAACCAAAAAGGTCAGTTAGTTCTAGGATAGTTGGGATATTACCAACTAAACATACTATTAATATGACTTTTATTAATCACATCTTACATGTATACAAAACTTTATAACCTTCAAAAGCAATTTTGTATGTTTTATTCATTTAATCTTAACAAAAATCCTTCAAAGTAGGTAAATACTTTACCAGTTTTACATACGATGAAACTAAACCTTTTGGAGTTTAAGTAACTCAACCAAAGTCACTCAGTTGTGGAGAAATCTCCTCTAATCTATAGAAGGGGCCCTGTAGCTAAATATAATATAAAAGATGGATGAGGGTTCTCACTACCTTGCAAGGAAAGCCAAGGAATGGAGGCAGATTGAATGCTGATGTCATTGTGTTGAGCTGCTAAATGAAACTGAACAAATCTTCAAATAAACAAACCAATAGATTTTTTTCTGTTGCCCCACTAGTTTGAGTAGTGCTTCCATCACTTGCAACCAAAATTATCGTGACTAATATATCCAGTGACATTAGACAACTCATTATTCCTTCAACAGAATCCAAGCATTTTACCTCTATGTCTATCCTCCTGCTATTTCCACCAACTGGTATTCCTTCTCTTGCCTGATGAATACCTATCCATTCTTCAAAGTCTACTCTCTTACCATCTGCTAAATAAGGCCTCTCCTGATTCCACTAGTTTGAGAACTTCACTTATTCCTCCCCAGGCACTTGATTTGTACTTCCTATGGAGAATCATACTCGGGAGCAACTGTCTCTTCCCCCTATTGTGTCCATTAGAGCGCCCTGAACAGTATCTTACACATGGCAGACCTTCAGTAACAATTGATTTTACCACATTGTATAAAATGGAATACTAAGTAATTCCTCAGAAGATTGTCAATGTTGATACTTAGCTACTTAAATGTTAATAGATGTGACAAAACAAAAGAGTAATCGGACCTTAGTTTCACATCTCCATGTCTATGAGATGAACATGCAGTATTAGATATTTCTGGGTATCCCCCATAGCTGGTCTTTCTGGATATCATTTTCAGGGTAGGAGAATATAACTTCCCTAAAAAGTAGAAAATTATAAGTTACAAATCCTTCATGTGTCAGATAGATTTTTATCAGTTTTATATTGCACACAGATTTTATTATATATATAGACTTTATTTTGCAGATGTACTGTTATCTGCACTGATAGAAGGCATGTCACTGAGCTTCCCAAGCCTAACAAGAATATTATAAGCATACTTTAATAACATGTGTCTTCTATCATTTGCACTGCATCTCAAAATAGCTTTGCAATGTTATATTTTACTATTGCTTATAACAAATCATATAACCTAGTCCTCCCCCAAGAAAAAGCGAGAGAATGAATTCAAATAAGAAATTTTTTTGCATAAAGATCTAGAAAGATGTTTTAAATTTCTAATCTGAGCTTATTCTATGAAATGAAAACACATTAATCATTTTCTATCTACACAGCAGTCAAATTGAAGAGGAAGATCCTACTTTCTAATGCTTGGTTATTAAAATGTGTTCTAAATGAAAGGCATAAAATGCTTATTTCCATACAAACTACTAGACAGCAAAATGAATGGATTCATCATGCTCATGGAAAATGCAAGCACAAGAGAGAAAGAGAGAAAGAGAGAGAGAGAGAAACCAGAGGAATGCTGGAGCATTTACCTTTCAGATAACTATTTTCTAAGATTACTCTTAATTAGCTAATGGTTTTCAGTCAACCAAAATAAAACTAATATTTGCATAGTACCTTACAGTTTATACTTCACTCTGATAATTATTCCTGTTATTGCCTCTTTGTGCCCCCCCCCCATTCATATGTTGAAACCCTACTCCCCAGTGTGACGGTATTAGGAAGTGGGGCCTCTGAGAGGTGATTAGACGAGGTCATGAGGGTGGAGTCCTCATGATGCAATTAGTGCCCTGATAAGTCAGGAGAGAGCCTGCTGCCAGTTTGTGATAATTTTGTTATAGCATCCAAAAAAAAAAGCTAAGGCAAGCCCCACTTTATATTTATGGAAAACGAAGCTAAGTGGCAGTACATGATGGAGCTGTGTCTCATCCCCAAAGGCCACGTAACATGTTGCACCAGTGACAATAAATTCACTGCTCATGA